TCTTCTATAGTGATAAGCAATGTCTCAATTTCAACAATTGTATATGGATATGTCCTCAAAATGATTGAAGTTACTATAGAATTGTATTCTTTTGATAAATCATCAACAGTTGCTTGAATTTATTCAGAGTCGTTAATAAGAGATCCTACAACTCCTAGTGTATCTTTAATTTTTTTATGGAAAGAAGATTTTTGTCGATGTTTTCTTGCTCCTAGATATTCTTAAGTTTTGAACGTAATTGACTTATCTTAACTCTTGTTGTAACAACAAAATATGATTAAACTTTTTCTAAATTTGAAACGAAAACTCACACTACCATTTTGGTGTAGAGATTAGGTGACATGAAGACTAGAAGTCATGTCAAGATTAGTTGATCTTGTTGTTCCCAACTGAGATATTCTTCATTAATTGTTTCCATTGTTGCATCCTTTCTATGTGATATTTTCTTAGCATTTCAACATTTACAATTTTTTATATGAATTTCTAAAGATCACAATGTATCCTTTAATTGTTCCTAGTGCTTGTTGTTTCTACATAAGAAAGTTGTCATCATCTAGTTTGATTGATATTAGTATAAAGAGTAGTTGAGTGATAGGTTGTGAAGCCATAGTTGAATTTGATAATATAAGAATTGAGCTTTAATATCATAAAGGTATTTGGGCAATAATTAAAGCAAATTAAAAATAAACGAAAAATATGTGTTAAATTGTTATTACTTGTAGTTCTCATCACATAATAATGTATGTATACTGTACAATGTGTGTGAACAACTAATAACTAAAATTAATTATAAATAGATATTTATTGTGGTATCTATAAACTTGAGAGAAAATTCTATATAGTCTTTATATTAACGGTTGTGATTTTTTTAATATCTTAAAGATAAGAAAATATTAACATCTTTTTTTTTTAACTAAACTACTAATTCTATTATTTATCAATTTTAAATTAACAATTATAATTATTTTACATGTAAGAGAGGGTATCAAACTCTTTAACATAGATTTTACCTTATAAATATTAGAGTTGATAATGTGAAACTAACTACTTTTATAATGATTTTTATAATGTTAAGAATTAAACGTATTGATATTCACAATTTTAATAACTAAAATAGATATTGACTGAAAAAATGTCGGAGACAAATTAATAATTAAACCTAAAAACTAGTTCGGCAGTTAAAAGATTTTAATTTGCACATAACTTTCCTATCTTCTCGTGCGCAGATTCACAGCCCCTCTCTTGTAGGGAATGAACATATGCAATATATAATACAAAGAATGAATGTAAATGAAATATAAAAGAAATGAATTTAAAAAAAATAGTTCTTAATATAATTAAAACTTTAGTAGCTAGGGTAAGTAGTGATTAAGGGAAAACTGAAGAGAGACAACACGCTCCACGAGCCTTTCTAAATTGAAAAACCTAATCAATTTAATAGAAAACTTTTTGAAAGTTGCGCATGGATCCCGTACCACACAAAGTAGGAGTGGTCGGGTAAAATATGCTCCAGTCCATGAAAATCTTCCACTCAAGGAAAACACCATAAGAAAACAAATGAAGAAGTGGCGTATACAAAAAGCGGAGCTTTTCTTCAAAAAGCAAAGTGGAGAATGGGCCATGCAAACCCCTCAAATATCTAACAAAGTCAAATTATCTTCACGTTGTAGATATAAGGAGCATCGGTGACGCTAGCTGTTGACCAAATTTCCAAAAAGAGTGTTAAGACATAAATTCTCTTCACCGTGGAGATATCGATGAAATTACAGTAGATTAAAAGGTATATAAACAAGAGTCTTAATTTTAAAATATTCTAAAATATTTAAATTTGCATCTCAATCACCCTTTCATTCATGAGTCGGACCACGTACATAATCCTAATAAGTTGAGCGGTGATAAATTTGTTTATGAAATAAAATAAAAAAATGTACTTCCTTGACGGGTGGGATATGGTGAAAGATTGATATGTTTCACTTTTACAAAAAAGTTTTGGTTCACTGTGGCACTAATTTTCATCCACAAGGATTTTTATACATATTACTGTTATAAGTTCGTGACTTGACTAACTTTAAAATAGTTAGCTTTCTTCCCCTAAGCTTCTTAATAATATATAAATAAAAATATCATGTGCATTATTTTGTGGGCGCAAGCGAGGTTTGGGTCACAAACTCATCATCGGTGGTTATTATTTTCATATGAATACAAACGCTGTTCAATTTCTGACAAGAATCTTCGTCTAGTATATAACACAATCGTTGACCGAATTGAATATTTACCGACCAAATATTAATGATCCTAAATATTTAATGTTTTTCATGAAAATGATCGAAATTTTAAGCCAACCTCACATGGCATTTTCGTTCAAGAGGGACGGGAGCGGAGGCTCGTTTCTTCTAATATATTATAAATACACGACTCATTAAGGTAGTCATGTTTTCTGCTCTTACGCCATTTTAGAGAATACATGTGTTTAGTCAGAAGGTAACCGTTAATCTGCGATTTGAATTTAAATGAGTATATGAAATGCTTTCCATATGAATTAAATTATTTAAACATTGCAGATGCATAGGTAAGTATCAGCGATTACTTTATTGGAATTTTATTGATCGATCGCTAATCAAGGGTTTTTGTGTATATGAGTAACTGTTCATGAATAAAAAATTCTCTTCTTTTAAACATTAATTTCGGACACGTGCTATTGCTAAAACAGACAATAAGTTAAATAGTAACTTGTTGAAATTCCAAAAATAGTCTCGTTTTAGCATTTTTTTTAATAAAAAAAACACTACCTTTCTTTTTATCTCTCTTTACTTCTCGTCACATTGCATAATAACTTTTTAATTCAACTAATTTCTTATAAGAGATTATAATTTGTACTCAAATTACATCACTTCTTATAACAAAAGAGGGATTGAGATCCTCTGCAGTGGATCCTTCTAGTTTTAATCCCATCCATTCATTTTTATATTTATTATTTTTAAACAAAGAGTATTTATTTTAATGGCTAAGATCAGAGAATCCTGGTCTAACAAAAGAGTGAAACAAAAATAAGACAAAACGAATGATGTGACATACATAGAGAAAACAAGTAAATTATAAAAAAAAATATGAATATCATATGTATAATAAAGATAAACACTCATCATCTTCTGAACAGTTTCACAAGGGCCATGTCTTTTTAGTGATTTTGCTTCACTAAGCAGATAGGGTTTGTATATAATAGAAATTGGAGCTCTAACACAGAAGCATAAGATCGTAAGATATTCCAAAGAATACCCTAATCTATCTTGCTAATATTCAACCCACGTGACATCATTTTGTTGTATTTTTTATGAAAACTTCAGATATAAATGTGTGTTCAGGAAAGTTCACAAATCCAGTTAAAAAAAGTGTGAAAATGTGATAGTTATAATTTAAGGCAGAATTGACAAAATTATTTGTCTCGTTTGAGCTAATTCAGTTTAGCTTAATATAACTAAATTTAAAAAAGTTAACTTTTTTATTTGAGCCACAAATTTTAAGATAAAAACTAATTCAAACTCGTATTTTATATTTAAATAGACCGTGTTAACTTAAATTCAATTAAAATAAAAGAAATAAAAAAATCAAAAAAAATTTAGACTTAAAATTTCAACTTTAAACCTTATGCTGTAATAAATCTAATTGGGCCAAACCTAATTTCAGGCAATGGCGGAGAGTTATATTTCACCCTGTCCCCCAAATCTAAATGGATTTTTTTGTTTGGACAAACCATTAAATTAATAATAGTAGGGTGCTTGATGATATCCTCTCACTGATGCTTCATAAAAGGAAAGTTGGGGAAAATGGGTCGAGAAAAGCAGCAAGCTCGTGAGTGTAACACAAAACATTTCTTTCTGAATCTAGCTAAGCTATAAATGGCCTTCGTTATTATTTTAGTTTGGGAAAACTGCAAATATTGACTCCAGTAGTGTAACAATGTTTTAGCTAATTAATTAGAGTTAGCACAGATGTTAACACCAAACCTGCTAGTCATTTCATCATGTGGGTGAAGAAGCATAGTGGTCCTTGAGATGGGAATTAATGATAGAATTAACCTTAGCTTCTCTTTGAGAGACAACCCGTCTTTAAGGTAGTTTGTCTTTGATCAATGATTAGTTAGATTTAGCCTTGTTTTTTAAATGTTTTTTGAGACACATGCTGAAATAAATAACGATTACAAGCAAGCAAGAAATGAAAAAGAAAAGAGCGAGTTCTAGCTAACCTTAGATACAACTATAACGTGCCATAATGATTATATGCTTAGCTTTCCCCTGCCAATCAAATGCATGATTACCAATGGGCCAGAGCCATGTATGCCTTGCGTAACACACTACTTAAAATCAATAGAATTAAGGTCTGTTCTTAATAAATCTATTTAGAGAGTATTGAATATATTATTTGAAATGTTTTAACTATTTAAAAGATAATATTTGCCGTAGAATCAACTGAACGGATTAAAAAGTTCAATGAACAAATTAAGGAAGCGAATATTAATTGCACTGAGGTTAGCTTTTGCAGTCTCAAATATCCCGGGATAATGGACAACCAAGCCAACAAAAGAGGAAAATGCAAGTAAATTCAACGGGGTAATGTTATTTTTATGTCATCTTTTTGTAATACTTTATAGTTTATTTCTTATTATATTATTTATCTTATTTAATTTTTTTCTCTTTTTCCATTTTAAAATAATAATACTTAATTCAACATTAGACTGCTTCTCAACGCTTATCAGCCCATAATAACACATATTTCAGAAATTAAAAATACCATTTACAAATTAAAAAAAGAAAAAAATTAAGTATAAGAATTAAGTTATTTACAGATTTACAACAGTGTGTTTACTAAAGAGCGAGGGGGCAACATGGTAATTGGATATTAAAGAAGAAAACATTACCAGAAATCCAATGTGGGCTCCATATTTTAGGGGCTATAAATAAGCAATCTTCTCCACCACTCGCCAAAATCACTCGTCCCAGCAAAAAGCGCATAATCACCTCCAACCTTCTCTTTTCATCTCGTATCTGAAACAAACTCCAAAACCAAAGCGAAAAATAATACAATGGTCGACGTAGACCGTAGACTGAATCCGGCTCACTTAGCCGGTCTAAGACGCCTCTCCGCTCGAGCCGCTTCAGTTTCTTCAACCACCAAACGTTACACTCTTCAGTCATTATCTTCTCTTTCCGATAAGCTCATAACCCACCTCCGTAACTCAGGCATAGAGGTTCAATCGGGTCTCTCCGACGTCGAGTTTGCTCGAGCCGAGGCGGAGTTCGGCTTCGTGTTCCCACCGGACCTCCGAGCCGTCCTCGCTGCCGGCTTGCCCGTTGGAGCTGGATTCCCAGACTGGCGCGCCGCTGGAGCTCGGCTTCACTTACGCGCCATAATGGACTTGCCCGTGGCTGCTATTTCGCTACAAATCGCGAGGAACGCGCTTTGGTCCCGGTGCTGGGGCCCAAGGCCCACAGTGCCGGAAAAGGCCTTGCAAGTGGCGAGGAACGCGCTCAAGAGAGCACCACTCTTGATTCCCATCTTTAACCATTGCTACGTTCCGTGCAACCCCTCCCTCGCGGGAAACCCCGTCTTCTTCGTCGACGAGAATCGAATCTTCTGCTGCGGCTTTGACCTCGCGGATTTTTTCCAGCGAGAGTCGCTGTTTCGGAGCTCTGGTTTCAATTCGGATACTCTGGTTCTCAAGAAGCAGAGATCCGTCGCCGATAAACCCTCCGTTAAATGTTCCGTTTCTGAGTTGTCGCGGCGGAGCCTCGATGTTGGAAGGAGGACGCCCCGGTGGGTGGAGTTTTGGAGCGACGCCGCCGTGGAGCACCGCCGGAGAGTTTCGTCGCCGTCGGCAGCGGAGAGGTTCGTCGAGATTCGGCGATGGGAGGTGCCGAAGTGGGTGGAGGAGTATATAGGGAAGATGGGATCGGTGTTGAGGGAAGGAGGGTGGAGCGAATCGGATGTATCCGAAATGGTGGAAGTTTCGGGTTCGGATTTTTTTGAAGGGGATATGGTTTTGTTCGATAATCAAGGCATTTTGGATGCTCTTCTCTTAAAAACAGATAGGTTTTCGGATTCGCTCCGAAAATCTGGGTGGAGCTCCGAAGAGGTTTCGGATGCGTTAGGATTCGATTTCCGACCGGGGAAGGGACGGAGACCGCCTAAGAAGTTGTCCCCTGAACTGGTGGAGAGAATAGGGAAACTGGCCGAATCGGTTTCTCGGTCATGATACTTGGAACTGGAGCTAATTGCCTTTGTATTTCCATGTACATTTGCTTTTTATTCGCTTTTATTTTTATCAGGTAAACAATTTTTTAATGAAAAAGAAAAACTATTTTGACATCGATATTTGTATTTCCCTTCCCACCTGGGTAAAACAATTAGGAATGGGGAAATCGCAATGTTACCTTAAACAAAGTGCAGAAGTGATCATAGGTTTTTTAAATTGCTTCATGTTAATGATCGTCCTGTGTATGAATAAGAATCGATGGTTAATATACCGTTGTGTGCTGTAATATGAAGAATCTCTGATTCCCGACGGTGGTTTAAGACTTTAAGCAGTTTCACTTTTTTACCTTGGATATTTGCGCGCCCATTTTCCTAAATTTAAATTATCTTTTTCTTGCTTCACTCGAAGTATTAAAATTTATTGGTCAGTTTGGTAACAAGATAAATGTAATTAATCCTGATGTAATAAAATTTTCTGTTAGAAAGTAAAAATAAATAAAATTAAAACTTTACAAACGGAGCTACTTTGGTTTTGGTTTCCGTAGTATCAGTGCACGTGTGTACGAGCTACGAGCACATACATATAGAGAGATCTTCGTAATAGAAAGGTGAGCCTCCAACGGGAACATGACGCTGCTGGTGTGAGACAACATGACATGATGAATGAACCAGGGGTTAAATGAGAGAAAAGTAGTAATTTTTTTAGGTGATAGTGCATAAAAATTCATTTAAAAACGATATAGTTTTAACCGGGCAATAAGATTAGAAAGGAACTGAAATTAGCTAGCCTAGTCATCCTTTTTTCTTTCGTAATTTTATTTATTACTAATCTCACGAGTTTAGTTACACGGGGAGAGGGAAACTGAACCAAATTGCTGCGGATGAAAGTGAAGGCGTGAAAAAAAATAGCAATGTCCGGGTGAAAAAGGTATTTAATGAAGGGAAAAAAATGAAAATTGGCAGAGGGAGATACTATGATGTTAACATTCTTTTCATTAAAATTTTTGTCCTTGGGAATTTGGAAAAGGATATATGGACGGCATGTATGGGGTTTGCAGGCAGAGAGAAGACAGAAACCTAGTAACAGTTTAGCTTTTAAGGGACAAAAGAAAGATATATGTGTTTTGAGTTTGGCAGAAAAAGATGGATGGATATATTTAACACGGTGTATGAGGGTTTAGGATGGGAAAAGACGTGGACTGAGCCAAGTGTTTGTTATTTTAAAATGAAGTTTGGAGGGTTGACAGGAAACAGAGGGACCACGTATTTCCAATCCAATGAGCTCTCCCGTTGCACACTTCATTGTTGTTGCTTGTTAGTTTCTTTCCACCTTCCTGGTTTAGTTTTCATATTAAGCTAATTTCTAGGGTGATAAGAAATGAAGCTGAAATGTTGTACGGTTTTGGTTTGGAGCACTTGTCTTATTTTGTAGACATTTGGAGGGGGGGCTCCTGCGATGGAGCGTGGGGTTGGTACAGGGAAAGTGTGCATATGATTTGATTTGCACCTTCCAATTTCAAAATTTTTATATTGTATCTGATATTGTATTTACACAATTTGTTCTTAATTACTTAATCCAGAGAGATCCATCATGTGAATTGAAATTTTAAGTTTAACCCATATCCCAATATTGTGAGCTATTTTTGTCGTTTGCATAAACTAATAACCCTTGCCACGAACTAATTCCTTTCAAAACTAGAATAGATCGTCATAATATATGGTTTTCTAGCAAATTTTATGTATGATTAAACTAGTCAAAACTGTTTACATGTTTGTGTGAACTTGAGGCAGACTCATCAGAATATCCTCGGCGAGTTTAGATTAGACCAAATATCATTCATCGACCACATTTTCTCCATGATGCAAAAAATGTGCAAAAGGGTAACCAAAGCGAGAGTCGGTAACAAGTAAAGTAGGTAAAATCCCAAAAACAATCAATAAATGTTATGCAGGGTCATTCCCTGCATCTGCATCATGCACTGTCACTTTGGTCATCCAAATCCTGAGTCCTCCCTTCACTCCTGATCCTGAACCCAACTGTTAATATTTGTCACAAGTCTATGATATTCATGTGCCTTCACCTCCACCGCCCCATCCTCATCTTCTCTCTGCATATGTCTTCCCGTGCATTATTATTTTTCAACTTCTGGACGGAAAAGTTTTACAAAGATTAATTTTAACATATACAAGAGTATATAGGCACATCTTAGAGAAATTGCTTATTATTTTCATAAATTTTTTAACTTATTTTATTAATTTCTTTCATTATTTTAAAAAATTAGTTTATTTTAATAAATATTATAATAAAATTAACAAAGAAAATTTTTATATAAAAATAATCATTGAACATGCGATCTAGACCATACTAAAACACATCTTATATATATTATTGAGAATTTGAATCAATAACTATTATTTATTAGTGTTTATTCTTATTCTATAAGTTTTGATTATAGAAATTATAAGAATAAAAGAATTGTTACATATTTATGAATAACTTTATATTTGTGATTTATGTTCAGATCAATTAGTAGAATTAAAATCAACTTTAAGTTATGATTTTTTTATATTTAAAAGTTGTTAGTATGAATAAAAGTGTAAGTTTTCACTTTTAACTTGACACCCTTCTAAATTTCTCTTAATTCCAACATTTGATATCAAAGCTTTATTTGTTCTTGAGGGACTTGACAAGGTTGAGAGTTTCACTAAACACCTAAACACTTACATTAAGAATTGAAAATGCAATCTGATAACCAAGTGATAACATTATTAGTTGTTGAGAGTGAAAACTATCACCTATGGACAATTAGAATGTAGGCTTTTCTTGATGCAAGTGACTTTTGGGAGACTATTGATGAGGATTATGAGGTTGGACAATTACTAGAAAATCCAACACTAAATCAAATCATGTTTTATAAGGAAAGAAAATAGCAAAAATCAAAGGCAAAATCTTGTCTATTTTATGTTGTTTCTTCAACAATCTTTACTAGAATTATGACTCTGAAATTGGCAAAGGCCATATGAGATTTTCTCAAACAAGAGTATGAAGGAAATGAGAAAGTCAAAGGGATGCAAGTGTTGCATTTAATCAAAGAGTTTGAGATGTAGCGGATGAAGGAGTCAAAAATAGTGAAAGAATATTTTAACAGACTTCTAAGCATTGTAAATAAAGTGAGGTTGCTTAGAATTGAGTTTCCTAATACAAGAATTGTTCAAAAAATTCTTGTGACTATTCCTAAGAGGTTTGAATCCACTATTTCCTCTTTGGAAAATTCAAAAGATTTGTCAATTATTACTTTGGCAGAATTGTTGTATGCTTTGCAAGCCCAAGAACAAAGGAGACTCATGAGAGAAGGTGTGATTGAAGGTGCGTTACAAGGCAAACTGAAACTCAATCATGGTTACAAAGGAAAGAAAAAGAATGTTCAAGGGAGCAACTTTGAGTAAGGAGAGAATTCTAACAAAGGCAGTAAAGAAGAAGATGAGAAGTTGAATCATCCTCCTTGTCAGCATTGTAAAAAAGGGATCATCCTCACTTCAGATGATGAAATAGGCCTAATATACGCTGCAACAAATGCAACCAACTTGGTCACATGGCAAAAATTTGCAAAAACAAAAAGCAGCCTCAAATTGAAGCTCAAGTGGTTGATCAACAAGAAGAGGAGGAGCAATTATTTGTAGCAACCTGTTTTGCCACCAACAGCAATGGTGAAAGTTAGTTAATTGACGGTGAATGCACACATCATATGACCTATGATGAAGAATTGTTCAAAGAATTGGATTGAATCACAGTTTCAAAAGTTAGAATTGGCAATGAAGAGTGCATAGCTGTGAAAGGGAAGGGCATTATTGTAATTGAAAGCTGCTCAGGTATAAAAATAATCACTGATGTACTTTATGTACTTGATATTAATCAAAATTTGTTGAGTGTTGGTCAGTTGCTTGAAAAAGGCTACAGAGTCTTCTTCAAAGACAAAATGTGCTTGATCAAAGATGCAAGTGGACAGGATATGTTCAAGGTCAAAATGAAAGGAAAAAGCTTCCCTTTAGATCTGATGGAGGAAGTGAAAGTTGTTTCAAGCTCCATCAATGTCACTGAACTTTGGCATAAGAGAATGGGTCATTTCAACCATGTTGTATTGCTTTACATGAAGAAGCACAATATTGTGAAAGGTTTGCCATCACTGAAAGATCACTTAAGTAGCTGTAGTGCATGCCAATATGGGAAGCAAACTATGCTGCCATTTCCACAAGCAAGATGGAGAGCCTAAAGAAAACTGCAGTTGATTCACACAAACCTTGGAGGATCTCAACTTGAATTATCTTTACAAGGGAGTAGATATTATATTGCTTTTATTGATGATTTTACCAGAATATGTTGGATTTATTTTTTGAGATTCAAGTCTGAAGTTGCAAGAGTGTTTTGGAGGTTCAAGGCTCGAATTGAATATCAAGCTAGCTATAAATTCAGGTTCTAAGGTCTGATAATGGAAAAGCATTCACCTTGAAGCAATTTAATTCCTTCTGTGAAGAGGCTAGGATTGAGCACCAACTTACTACGCCTTACACTCTTCAACAAAATGGAATGAGTGAAAGGAAGAATAGAACAATAATGGAGATGACTAGATGCATAATACATGAGAAAGGACTTCCAAAAAAGTTATAAGCTGAAGCTACAAACATTGCAGTGTTTCTATTAAACAGGCTTCCTACAAAAGCAGTGAAAGGAAAAACTCCGTATGAAACATGGTATGGTTATAAATCTTTTATTAAAAGCTTTAAAGTCTTTGGATGTATTTGTTTTACTTATGTGTCAAAGGTGAAAAGAGATAAGTTGGACAAAAAGGCAAAAACTGGAGTTTTCATTGGCTATAGCACAATTTCAAAAGCTTATAGAGTCTTCCAACCACAAACTAGTAAGATTATAATGAGCAGAGATGTTTATTTTGCTGAAGATAAACAATAGAGTTGGCAGAAAGATGGATGAAAACATGTTCCTAATTTTTCTTTTAAAGAAGAAGATGAAAATGTTGATGATCCACTTGTAAGAGAAGTCAGATTACTTTCTAAAATTTATGAAAAATGTAATGTTGCTATATTAGAACCTGCAGATTTTTTTAAAGTTGAAAAAGATCCAAAGTGGATTGTTGCAATGCAGGAAGAGCTTAAAATAATTGAGAAGAACTAGACATGGGAATTGGTTCCTAGACCTTAACACAAAAATGTTATTGGTGTTAAATGGATGTTTAGGACAAAACACAATGCATATGGTTCTATAAACAAGCACAAAGCTAAATTTATAGTGAAGGGATATGCTCAAGTATTTGGAGTTGATTTCTCTGAAACATTTGCTCTAGTTGCTCAGCTTGATACAATCAAATTGGTTCTTGCTTTTGCAACTTAAAAGGGATGGAAGGTGTTTCAGTTGGATGTAAAATATGTTTCTCTGAATGGTTATTTGCAGGAGAAGATATATGTTGAGCAGAAAGTTTTGCACTTAAAGGACAAGAAGACAAGGTTTGTTTGCTAAAGAAGGCCTTGTATGGGTACAAGGTTAAAGCAAGCACCAAGAGCTTGATACAATAAGATTGATGAGTACTTACTGAGTATTGGTTTCACAAAAAGTCTCAGTGAGTCAACTCTTTATGTGAAATGCTTGAACTCTAAGATTTTAATTGTTTCTTTGTATGTGGATAATTTCTTGGTGATAGGAAACAATACTGCATTTGCTGAGGAGTTCAAGCTAAATATGATGAAAGTCTTTGCGATGACACACTATGGATAAATGACTTTCTTTCTTGGAATGAAAGTCAAACAACATAAAAAAGGAATTTTATTAGTCAGAAAAAATATGCAAAAGAAATTCTTAAGAAGTTTCACATGGAGAACTCTAAGCCTATGAGTACTCTAATGTTTCAAAAGTTGAAGCTTAGCAAAGAGGATGGTGCAAAAAAAGTTAATGAGACTGAATTTAGAAGTCTTGTTGGTTGTCTCATGTATCTTACAGCAATAAGACCTGATATTTTGCAAGTTGTAAGTGTTCTTTCTAGATTCAAACAACATAAAAAAGAAATTTTATTAGTCAGAAAAAATATGCAAAAGAAATTCTTAAGAAGTTTCAAATGGAGAACTCTAAGCCTATAAGTACTCCAATGTTTCAAAAGCTGAAGCTTTACAAAGAGGATGATGCAAAAAAAATTAATGAGACTGAATTTAGAAGTCTTGTTGGTTGTCTCATGTATCTTACAGCAATAAGACCTGATATTTTGCAAGTTGTAAGTGTTCTTTCTAGATTCTTACATTGTGCAAGTGAAGTTCATCTTCAAGCTGCTAGAGATATGTTAAAGGAACTCTTGGTTATGGAATTTGGTTCGAGCATAATCAAGAATTTAATCTTCATGAATTTTTCAATAGTGATTGCCGCAGGTTCATTGGATAATATGAAAAACACTTATGGTTGTTGCTTTACATTTGGAGTCTGAAGTGTTTTCTTGGGCCTCAAAGAAGCAAGATATTGTAGCACAATCAACTGCAGAAGCAAAGTTCATAGCTGCTACTATAGCTGTTAATCAAGTCTTATGACTGAGAAAAATTTTACTGATCTACAAGTCGTTTGAACATATTTAACTAAAGTGTTTATCGATAATCCAACAGTAATTGCAATTTCTAATAATTCAGTTTTTCATAGAAAGACTAAACACTTCAACATTAAGTTGTATTTTCTTAGAGAAGTTCAAAGAGAAGGTAAAGTTTTACTGGAATATTGCAAAATAGAAGACCAAATTGCAAACATATTCACAAAGGCACTTTCAAAAGGACGGTTCGAGAACTTGAGAAAGAAACCTGAAGTTGATAACTACTGATGCAAGGAAGAGTGTTGAGAATCTGAATCAATAGTTATTATTAGTGTTTATTCCTACTTTTATGAGTTTTGATCATAGAAATTATAAGAATAAATAAGCTGTTACATATTTATGAATAACTTTATTTGTGATTTATGTTCAGATTAATGAGAGGAATTATAATTAACTTTAAGTTATGATTTTCTTGTATTTAAAAGTTGTTAGTATGAATAAAAGTATAAGTTTCCACTTTCAAGTTGATAGCCTTCTAAATTTCTCTTAGTTCCAATAATTTTTTAAAATAAAATTTATATCTTAAAATTTATAACCTAAACTGTTTACTGATCATCAATGTAATTGGTATGCACCTTGCAATCTGAAATCTTTGTGTCTCGGAGCCTGCAAGGATAACATGAGACCATGGGCAATGAGCCTACCAATGGGGTCCATATCCACCTACTCGCGCTACATCCACATGTCCCTCAAGTCTGATCACAGCCGTTGATCAAGGGAGTGATCAATGTCAGTGATGTGTTAAGAGTTGACCATACACAGTGTGTATGAAGCTATGTCAAAGTTGTATGACACAAATGTCTGGGTAGAGGATCATGGTAGTGACCAATTGATTAATCTCATGCAAGCACAGGGAGACAAGATCAGTTTCGTTTGGACTCTAATAAAGATTTAACAACTAATGGGATGGGGTGGTTGAGAGATGGTGACTATATAGTCTATATTGGAGCAAGCTTGTTGACATTAAAGCAAGTTTGTCGATTTTTCAACAATGTAGTCTATATTGTGATGCTTTACTATGTTTTTGTGGCTTATATGTCAACTTCTCAATTGTGCATTATTGTATGACTAGAATTAGCGTCCGTTCTGAGAGACAATTCCAACAGGAATGAATAACAACTTGGCCCATTTTAAGCATAAATTCCATTACTTTTTCCTTTTTTCCTCGAAGGATTTCGATGGTGACGAAGGTATGTTAACGAGTAAAAAGACTCATTTTGAAAAAATAATATAAATATTATAACTCATTTAAAAAGTTTAGGTGTTAGTATTAGAGTATAAAAATTGTTTTCAAATGCCATTCTATATCAGCATAATGCCACCTCTAACACTAGTATCAATTTGCCACTTTTATTATTACGTGCTAAATGAATACAAGAGGAAACAGTAAATAAAAAATGTAGAAAAGTATAAGGATTATATTGGGTTATAAGACGTGCTTCTCTCATAAAACATGCTATGAGCGAATCTGTAAAGCATCTTGACGGATGAGAAAATAACAGTGAAACCCAATGTAATAATTCATTTAGGAAATGATTTTTCAACCAAAAAGGTACAACTAAAAGTTGTCTTAAGGACATATATATATATATAAAATAATATAATATAAAAATAATGGTATATGGCATCACATATATAATGATTTATTTGCCTTCAGTAAAAGATTCTTGTGGTTTAGATAAAATTGAATTCGTGTTGAGAATATATTTACAGGAGCACAAGAATACGGAACATGATTTAAACTTGTCTTTTAAACTGAGCACTGAAACTGGAATAAAAAGAGTAACTTGCCTGATTAGAGAACACCAACTTAGTATCTCATAGAAATCAGCGCGTAGAAGGAAAGAACAAAATGAAATGAAACAATTATACCAAGACAATCATCTTCAAGATAAGATGCTAGACAATAGACGCAAGAACAGACACAATGACAATTCTCATCCAGGCTAAGATGTAGTAACTGCATTATTTTTGTCAAATATAAATTTAAGATACATTTACAGCGCTTGCTCGTGATGTAAGTAAAAATTGAAGACAAAACGTGGGGTCACATTAGAGAAGACTTATAAAGAGCTTGTGCAAATTGCTAATAACTTATAAGTTCTTTTTAGTTTATTTCAAATTTCAATAAGTTATTCTGGATATTTTATCAGAATAATTTTTTTTTTTAACTTATTCTAAGAAGTTCAATGATTAAATAGATAAGTCATCGTGTAATAAGGAGCCTATTAAATCAGCGTTTAATTAAACTGTGTTTCCCAACATATCCTTGATCACACTTGAGCAAAAATAAACTGAGCACAGATCCAACTCAAGAAGAGTTAGAAAGAGATTGCAGACTATTGAACTTCCTCTTATTATATTGACAAGTATACAATTATATTGCATTCGGTAAATCACAATTAAAGTCCCAGCTAGGCATTTGCCTAATCCATTCATTAAGCATGTGTAAGTTTATGAGAGTTATGCTATGAAGTATTTGTATCAAACTAACAAATGCCATTACACAGAGAGTGTTGAATGGAGAGCCTGTGGTAAGCAATTTCTAATCAAGAATCCCTCTTACAAGTATGGGCATGTGACATGATCGCATCCTAACTGACTGGACCTTTGTATAATACCCCACGCTAAAAGAATGGAGATAGTTCTCTACATATTCATATTTTATGCTGTATAATTTTTCTACTACTTACAATTGTAACTGAATACAATCAATCAGTCACACTGCCTGTAGAATTTGTGTCCCTTCCTTCTCTGAGACACTTGGAACTGATCTTATCACTTTAACACGAAATGAAACCTGCACATACTTTGGATGCTTAGACATCATAATGACACTATTCAAAATAAAATTGCGCATATTAAAGCAAGGATAATTGATATGCATAAAGAAATTTTCCTCCCAGATTTTACGAGAAGGAAAATGTCGCTTCCATCATTTTTGTGCATATCTCACGCAAGTATTTAAATAAAAGTAATTACTAAAATTTTGGCATTGATTAAAAAATACATTAAAATAATAATTAATTTTAAATAATTGTAAGAAAAAAGTGTGTAGAAGTAACACAACTCAATGAGATTGAACCTTCCAACGATTAATGTGCACTTTTTAACAGACTACTGATGAAACTAGTCATTAATCAAACAAACAGATGTTGACTCTTTCTCATGTGTTTCATATAGTATCTCATACGACTTATGTAAGTTCTAGAAGATGCAAATGTCTGATATGAATACTGCAACAACATTTTAAGGACCTCTTTAGGGATCATCTCACCTTCTCAGAACCAAACTGAATAACATCAGATGGGCGGATACGAGCAGGATAATTAGGAGGAACACGGTATCGCTTTCCTTCATTGCTGAGAACAAAATGAGAACGATATTAGATAAATTTTAAAAGAATTTGAAACTTTTAAAGTAAAATATAGCATCTACCATTTCTTTTACTTACTCAATGATCCAAGTGCCATGTTGACTCCGCAAATCAGTCACGAAGTAGGCACCATCCTTATAGTTAATTCGAGCATGCTTCGGAGAAACCTTAAAAAGAAAATTCATTGATTATGCTGCATGATTCTGAAGCACATTAAGGGAGGATCTAGAAGAATTAATGGAAAAACTTATAGCTCTTTTTAGCTTATTTCAATAAGCATTTCAGTATAGCTTATCAAAATAAGTTATTTTCATCTCATTCCAAGAAGTTTTATTGTCAAATTTATAGGATAATCCCTCAAGTAAAACGAGCTTATTGAATCGGTGTTTAATTAAGTTGTGTTCCCAAACACACCGTAAGTGTGGAACTATGTTTGATTCAAGTCATGATACCTGGGATGAAGGTATTGTAACTGAACTGCTTGGATAATCTTCTTGCAGTGCACTCCTGTGATTACCAAAACATATCAGAAAATATGCTGAAAGTGAGAATTAGATATTTTTAATGATAATTGAGCATGGTACAATGCAACACTTATTGGTGACCAAAAAGGAAAATATCTGTTCATGTTTCAAAAGGCACGTCCAAAACTGTTACTGTATGATTGTCAACAAATTGAATGTGTACATTATTGGTAAAATTTAACAACTATTATGTCATATTTGTAAGCAGGTGGTGCAGCTGTAGGCATACCCGATTATGAAGGGCTTCATCTCATTTTGACTTAAAGAGATAGGCTTTGAATGACATGTCTCATCTCCATGTGGTAATAAAACCCACCTATATTTCAAACAAGAAGGACAGGAATAGAAGTTATGTGATCTAAGTATTCGGTAAGAAATATGTAAAAGATGATACTCATACATATTTGGTCACAGACATACTCTCCATTAATAGCACGTTCAAGTGCTTCATCATCTTCAAACCATTTTCGTAACTGATCATTTGCCTTCATGAATAATCAAATGCCTATTAGCATTCAGATCACTATAAATCTAATAGATATGAACATATAAATTACCAGATACAATATCTTCTCAGCAACAAAGTACAAAAGTAACTTTATTTGAGCAACGTACTTTGTCTGAGAGTCTGCAACTTAGTGGTCTACCCTCAAGTTTGGAGCTGCAAAAGTAGCATCATTTTTCATTTAAAGTAATCAATTAAACAACTTTACATTTGATCATGCATAATATTCTGTTGATAGAAATGATGCTCTAGACCTCCTATTAGAAATGTTTACTTCAGAAAAAAGGCATGTGTAATGAATGACAGTTATGTCATATGATAGTTATGCTTTTATTTAATTTAAGAGCAGTGTGAGTTGGCAGTTATTTTTTAATGAATTGCAGTTATGCTATATGACAGTTATGCTTCGTGGTGTTTTATTTAGGATTAGGGTGTAAGTGAACAGTTATTGTATGTGCCAGTTTTAGAACAGATATATTCTCTCTAGGAGACGTGAGTGTCTGGGGACAGCAAATTCATGCTGTTGTGTGCAGTCTGTCTGTTTTGTGTTTCAATAAATATTTCCTATTAAATACTGAGTACATTTCTGGTATTCTATCATTTTTTGATTCGTCCTGCCGGATAAAAAGGAAAGGAATTTGCTCAGACCAACAAGTAAACCATTTATCGATGGCTAAGATGTCAGAACATATGGATTCATCAGAGGAAAATGTAGAGGGACTTCAAACTAGCATGGAGCATATGGAGGAAAGAATGGGACGCATGGAAGAGAGGCTACTTTCTTAAATGCAGAACCTGTTTGGGAGAAAATTGGGGGAGGAAAATGAGAGTTCCAATCGCAAGGAAGAGAATTCCTATTGGTCATGGATCAAATTTGAATTCTCAAGGTTTGGGGAGTACCATATGGCAGTCAAAAAAATAGAATTGCTTGGTTTAAATGGAGAAGATAATGTAAGATGGATTACTCAGGCTGAAACTTATTTTGAAGTTCAGAATGTTTCAGAACAAGTGAAAATTAAGTTGGCCAAATTAAGTATGGAAGGGTCTACTGTATATTGGTTCAACTTATTAAGACCATCGAAAGAATCACTCACTCGGGACAAGTTGAAGGCTTTGGTGGCTCGGTTTGGAGGAAGATACTTTGAAAATCCTTATCAAGAGTTGATAGAATTAAAACAAGAGGGAAATGTTTGTTGAGTATATTGAGATGACTTGAGACAGAAGCACAGAAAATAATTAGGGTAAAATCTGAATATTCTCATTACCATTCAGCATTACTAAATCCCTTGATTATAGGGATTGATTAATTACAAATGACTGCCAATTACCTTATTTACATAATCGATCAGATTTATATATACAAGGAAAGAAGGTAACTATATTAATAATGAAAACATAGAGATTCTCAACACTCCCTCTCAAGCTGGTGCATATAAATCATATGCATCTAGTTTGTCACAAATGTATGTTATCCTTGGACCTTGAAGTGACTTAGTAAGCATGTCAGCCAATTTGTCATTAGAATTTACAAATGACATAATAATCTCACCAGAGAGAACTTTCTGACGAATGAAATGACAATCAATCTCTATATGTTTGGTTCGCTCATGAAAAACAAGATTAGAGGCAATATGTAAGACTGCTTGATTATCACAAATAAGCCTCATAAGTCTTACTCACAAAACTTGAACTCAGAAATAAGCTGCTTTAGCCATACAAGTTCACATGAGGTATTAGTTTTTACTGGATATTCAACTTCAGCACAGGATCTGGCTACAACATTATACTTTTTACTCTTCCAAACAGATTTTTAGACCTTTCTTGAGAAGGTTTGTGTTGGTTTTTTTTTATGATATGGTAGTGCACAGTGTTAATTAAAAAACAAATTTACAGCATTTATCTCAAGTATTAACAGTATTAAAAAAAATCTCAGTTTGCGGCTAACAAGAAAAAGTGGGTCTGGGTAGCTACAAATGGAATACTTAGGGCATATAATTTCTCACAACGGAGTGACTGTGGATCCAACCAAAGTGAGCAGTATTGTAGAATGAAGCACACCTAAATATGTTAAAGGAGTGACAGGATCTCTGGATTTGAATGGGTACTACAGAAAATTTATTTTTAATTATGGAAAGATAGCTAGACCCTTGACTGAGTTGACAAAAAAAGGTAACTTTCATTGGGGACCAACTGCAGAAAAAGTTTTTACGGCATTAAAACAGGTCATTACCGCTTCTCCAGTGTTAGCATATCCAAATTTAACCTCCCTTTCGAAATAAAATGTGATGCTTATGGTAATGGTGTTAGGGCTGTCTTAATGCCACAATGAAAACCCATCGTTTTCAATAAAGCATTGTCCAGTAATAACCTCAGTGAGTCTGTTTATGAAAAGGAGCTAATGGCCTTGGTGTTGGCAATTCATCATTGTAGGTATTATTTAGTAGGAAGAAATCTTTTTGGCTTACACTAATCTGAAAAGCCTTAAACATTTGTTGGAACAACGCATCACTATTGCTGACCAACAATGTTGGATGGCTTAATTATTGGATTTTCATTTTGAACTCATCTACAAGCTAGGGAGGGAGAATAGAGCAGCAGATGCACTTTCTAGGATTTATGGAGATGCTGAATTAAAAACCATCATTTCTACCCCTACTTGGCTTCAAGATCGGGAGATAAATGAATAGTTCATAAGGATCCGAAGCTGCAGAAATTTATTTTTCATATACAAAAGAATCTTCTAGGTCATCCAAATTATTCCCTGCATAATGGGGTTTTGTTATATAAAAACAGATTGGTGGTCCCTTCCCAATCTTTATCATTCCTGTTTTATGGCCGGAATTTCATTCTACACCTACTAGAGGCCATTCAAGGTTTCTTAGAACCTACAGAAGACCAGCAGAAAATTTATACTGGCTTGGTATAAAGAAATCCATTATGGACTAAGCAGTCTTGTGACACTTGTCAAAGACAAAAATACTTGGCTACTTCTTCTAGTGGTTTATTACAACCATTACCAATTTCAGACCAAGTTTCGGAAGATCCTTTTAGGGATTTTATCCCTGACTTTCCAAAATCCAGAGGATATGATGTTGTGCTAGTGGTAGTGGATTGACTATCTAAGTATAGTCATTTCTTTCCGTTAAAGCATCCTTACAGTGCACCAAGTGTGGCTGCCATATTTGTTAAAGAAGCAGTAAAGCTGCATGTCATTCTGAACTCTATTTTGAGTGATCATGATATTTTATTTGAAAGCAATTTTTGGAAGGAATTGTTTAAATTGCAGGGTCCAGTGTTGAAGATGTCATCTTTTTACTATCTTCAGATGATCAAACCGTAGCTGTTAACCACTGTTTGGAGACCTACCTTCACTGTTTTGCTTTTGAGGAGCCTATGACTTGATCTTACTGGTTGCCATGGGTTGAACTATGGTAGAACACTACTTATCATGTGTCTACTGGTACAACACCATTTTTAGTGGTGTATGGAAGGCCTCCTCCTACGATTCTGCATTTTGTAGAAGGTGAAACAGGAGTTGAGGCAGTTGCACTTGGATTACAAGAAAGGGATCAGGCACTCAATCAGTTTAAGTACCATTTATCAAAAACACAAGATCAGATGAAACAGTGGGTGGACAAGAAAAGGAAGGATTTGCAGTTTTCAGTTGGTGATTGAGTTTTCATAAAGTTAAGACCACATAGACATTACTTGAATCAATAAAAAATTAGCTCCCAGATTTTATGGGCCTTTTCAAATTATTGTCAAGTATGAGGAGGTGTCTTACAAGTTGCAATTCCTGCCTACTTCTAATGTCCATCCAATTTTCCATGTGTCTCAACTTAAAAAGGTCATTGGATCTGCATTTGTTGAACCAGATTTACCTCATGAATTGGAGATTCACCCAAATGAAGGAATACAATCAGAGAAAATCTTAGACAATCGGGAAATTGTGGACAGATCACAGATGACCAAACAGTATTTAGTACAGTGGAAAGGACTGTTACTGAGAATGCTACTTGGGAAGAAAAGTCAGCTTTACAACATCAGTTTCCTACCTTTTGCATTTAGGACAAGGCGGTTGCTCTTGCTGGGGTAATAACAGAAATGATACTCCAGGACCTCCTATTTGGAATGTTTATTTCAGAAGAAGGCGTGTGCAATGAATGGCAGTTATGCCATATGATAGTTATGCTTCATTTAATTTAGGAGTAAGTAGTGTTAGTGGACAGTTATATTTTGTAATGAATGGCAGTTATGCCATGCGACAGCTATGCTTTGTGGAGCTATATTTAGTATTAGGTGTAAGTGGGCTGTTATTGTGTGTGTGTTGTATTTATCGGTTTTAGAACAGAAATATTCTTGGTATGAGACATCAGTCTCTAGAACAGCAATTCATTGGTGTAGGGAACAGTCTGTGTTGTATTTCAATAAATATTTTCTATTAAACTGAGTACATTTGTGGTGTTTTATCATCTGTCTTATTGGCTGCAAGTGAAAACTAAACCTTGTTTTCAATATTATTAGTTTCTTGAACTTCTCATTGTTAATCCATTGGCTCAAATTTCTAACATGCATTTTGAATGAGAGGACTGGAGTAAGAAAAAAGATGAAACTCTTTGAGCAAAGCAAAGTGAGCTTTCATCATTACCTATTGCCACCTAAGACCCAGCTCAACATAACAGGCATCATCATGTCAACGAAAAACCTTCCTCCAACTCTTCCAGGATGTGGTATACGAAACTTAGTCAAGAACTGCACAGAAAGGGAAGAAATAATGAATTTGGGAGAGGCATTTCATTATTTCACTTTGAAGTATCAAATTCACTGTATTGTTCATTCTTTTATCTGTGAAATTTAAGATCCTACCTCTAAAGGACCAAGACCAACACCCAGATAAGCCTTGTAAGTGGAAGCCATAAGAGCTGCCATTCTAGCCATTCCATGAATAATAGCAACTCGTAGTCTTCTTTCTCTCTCATAGCTGGAAGCATTAATGGAAAAGGGAAATAATAGAGAGGCACCAATGATCACCAAAGAGATTTATTATCAAATCAACCAATTTGAAAATGATGAAGGATTAACTATTGGACCAAGGTTGATATATGGAAACATCTCTCTGTTCAAATCAAGTCAATAAAATCATTATTTCAGTGTTTCGCATATTTGAAGAGAAAATGGTATATTACCTCCTTAGGGAAGACTCAATGTCAATCGGATACCCTGATTTAACACTTTGTTCCCATGCATTGTCCAACTCCCATGCAAGTTGATAACTGTCCTGCAATGATAAAACAAGCTAGTTAAAAAGGATTTTTGCCTCACTCTTTAAGTGTTTCATTGAGTACCGGTCCCCTTTGGAGGCTTTGACAAAAGGTGACACTATGGATCTCCATTTCGTCTTATAGTAGGAAATATTTTAATTTTATTCATGTTTCTGTATACTGTCGATATTCATTAGAGATATTGAAGAAAAATTGTTTATTAGATAGCCTTGCCAAGAAAAAAAGTCTGAAATACCTAACAGAAAAAAAAAAAAAAAAAACCAGTGAATCAATGATAATAGTGTATTAGCTATGAATCATGGAAGAAGGGAGATGGTGACTGATAGGCTAAGTTCTGAATTAGGCAGTTTAAATTCTGTATTAGAAAGTTATTGAGCACTTAGTTTTATATTAATTTTGGATTAGGCAGTTACATGTTATGATGTGACAGTTATAGTGATTATAGGTTGTTTGACAGACTTGTAGAAGGCAATTCTGGATTGTTAATTTGTGTTTTCAAGGACGAAACACCTTGTTAGGGGGAAACTGTGTGTTGATTGATGGTTGTCCTCTAATATGGCCCAAGCACCAGATTATTTATATAATTTATATAGAATTCAGTGTCTTTATTTCTCGAGTCCAACAGGGATAAGCAGGAAATCCCCAACAATGTTTCCATTTTCTATTATAATTAGTATAATTTTCATGTCAACTGTAAAAATAGCTTTTACATTCACTGATTATGTTATGATAAGTTTGTATGGTCTAATGTACAGAAAAATTTTAGTCTCAAAGTAAGAGAGACACAAGAAAAAAGAGAGGATCCAAAAAGTATGCTTCGACAGATCACATCAATGAAAAGGAAAACTTTTTAGTGCAAACTTGGGTTATCCAAGGTAACAGACTTGGAGGATTTATTAATCAGGGTACAAAACAATCTTTCATTTTTTTGCTGAAAATTTTGAAACTGATCCAATCATTGTGAAATATCATTGTGATCACTTCCTAAAATTCATATAATTTTGGCCCTCTAAATAGTCAAACGCCTGCATCTGTTTCTGGTCTGAATATGTAGGAAGTCACTAAAACACAAATCGAAGAGCAAAAATAATAACTTTAGACAATACCAGATAAAAGAAATATATACCTCAATAGCCATGCATCCTCCTTGTCCCATATTTGGCTGCATAGCATGGACAGAATCACCAAGCAAAGTAACACGACCCCTTCCCCATGTCAATGTGGGTATCCTGTCGTATATGTCTCGCCGCAGAATTGCCTCTTCTTCAGTGGCAATTATCAGGTCTACTGCATTATCACACCAGCCCTCAAATATTTTAAGCAACCTTTCCTTTTTTCCTGCCATGCAGAAAGAGTTATGAAATTAAATATAATGAATAGTAACTAGTGGCTGCACATTTGATAATCAGTGATCCTCATCATACAAATTATCTTAGCTCAAGATGTCAGAGTCAAACAAATAATCAATTTGTCGTTACCTTAATAATTGAAAAATTCTTTTCAGGTACGATCAATTCCTTTAACTTAATTATATTGAAAGACAGCATCAGTTATTAAAAAGCCAGGATAAACAATTCAAAGAGTATGTCTGCAAGTATATATCGAAAATTCAACATTTGCACAGGCCTTCTAACAGGAGTCAAATCTCAAACACATAAAGAATGCATACCATTGGGAACATCAACACCACCAGGAGATTCTTTGTGAAATGCATACCACTGCATCTTTCCAGCACCAACATCTGAAGATACAAAGTACTGTTTGTGTCCCAAGAATACTCGGTACCTTACAGCAAAGAAGTTCAAGTTAGCTTCTCAACATGATACAAGCAATAGTAACAAAATATGTAAGTAGGGCAAAGGAAATAGAAAAATAAGGATACAAAACATGACTAATGGCCAAACATACCCAACAGATTCAATGTCAGCAGGCACAAAATCTGCAATACCAGTGTAACAAGTATACCCAGAGTAAACAGCTTCTTTTGGCCCAAATAACTGTTTCCTCACCTATTCACAACAAAAGACTACAATAAGATTGAATGCAGAATTTAAGATTAAAAGGACTGCTTACAACCACACGAGTTTTTTGTACTCATTATGTTCAAGTATGACGTTTACTATCATATGCAAAAAATTATTTGCTAAAGAATAAGATCAGAATCAAGGAAAAATCAATAAGACCTTTGACCATATACCATCTGCTCCAACCAAGAGATCTCCTTCATACTTCTGACCATTCTCAAGCTCTACTGTTACCTGAAATTTTGGAATTCTGAATGAGAAGAGTAGTAAATGTCAATCAAAATATATTTTACTAACATTAGTCTGCCAATGCATGTTCAAGAGAATAAAGAAATATAAGCATCGGAAATTACATATCAATTGATAGCAGTGTGAGAAGATCTTCAACAAGCTTTCTCTACTTACCTTGTTTCCATCATCTACAAAATTAACAACATTACTGGCATTCATAATTACATCTTCCCCCACTGCACGAGCAAGGATCTCTTGTAAAACCATTCGACTAATAACTCTTGTGACTGGAAGCCCACGTTCCACTGCAGGAGTGAATGTATCAAACTTGACATACCTGATGAACAACTATATATCAATTCATGGTACCAAATGCTACAATTTCATAAAGAAATTGCATAAAACTGCTTTCTTTTAATAACTTGATATCAAGGAAACAAGATTTTTGTTTGACAAAGAAAGGGTAATTTACATTGACAGAACTCCCCTTTCATGTTTGCTAGAGGTAATTATATGTTTAATTCTACTGTACCCTGTTAAGCCTTTGAGCTTCTAAACTTTACAAATGAAGGATGCCCTCACTAGGTGCAATCAATCCCATTAGAAAACAGGATTTTAATAGAATTTTAGGACCACCGACACAAACAAGGTTAACTATTTTTTTGTATTGAAGTACATGTATGAGTACCCCATGCCTAAAGAGAAAACAAGAAAAGAAAATACAATTAAACCGCAAAATTATCAAGGACAAGCATGGTTTGGATAATTTCTGAGCAAATAAAGATTTTTCTTTTTTCAAAGTTCTCTCTTTCTTCGATATAAACTAAACCAAACAAACATCAATCTTTCAAACTTACCAAGAACCAGAAACCCCATCTACAAGGCCATTGATTCTATCACCCGTGATACAGCCTACTCTCATAACTTCCTCAGCAACCTCAGAATCTATAGCTTCCAAAGCAGCCAACGCATTGCTTTGTATCTGAATGGGACCCCTATACTGTCCCTCCCCTCTTATAGCACTCACGTCCTTCTCAAACACCATTACCTCGAACCCCTTTCTCTTTGCAGCCAAAGCAAAAACCAACCCTCCAATCCCACCACCCGCCACAAGCACCCGAAGCTTCTTCTTCTGAGGGGTCCCACTCACATTTTTCGTTTCAGCCTCTGCCACTGCAGCTTTAACATGCATCACACTCTTCCTCTGCTTCGTTGTTCTGCTTCCCAAGCGACAGTTATAGCTCAGAAGAGGTGAAGTGTGAGTATCCAGTGGAAGCTCTTTGTTCACGGGAACTGAGAAATGGGTTCTTGAGAAAGCTGTTGTTGAGGGGTTAAGAGAGTTGTAACACAAGGTAGAAGCCATGGTTGCAGCGTTTGTTTTTGTGTCTACTGTGAGTCAAAAAATTCAAAACTGAAGTACTAAATGAAGTTATGGATAATAAAATTAAAGGTTGAAGTTTTGATAATGTATGGCACTAATAAAATCTAATGAGGAATAAACATCGGTAACGGAATTGGTGGTTTGCAGTTGTAGAGCAGAAATATCAGCACCCAATTACGAAGATGTCAAAAAATACATCAGCATTGTGACTTGGGAGTAAAGGTTAAGGGGTTAACTCAGTGGCTGGTGACTGTGACAGACTCATTCTGTAGCTTAATTGTGTCCACAGATATACGGTGCTTTGTATGTTGTAAGGTTGCCCACGTATGAGGAACCCGATCATGCTTCAGACCCGTGAGATCAAAATATCAAATTTCATTGGCTTGTGCTACTTTCCTATGTGGATAAGGACGTTTATCCATTCGATTGGCTTAAGGTAAAAATTCTTTTCTTTTTCACTCTTTTCAACCAGTGATGATAAAAATTTAACTTTGTTTTACTTAAATGAAATATATACTAAGGTTAAAATATATCCATAATTTTACTTAGTTTAAGTTCAGATTTATACTATGATACATTATACTAATTTTTTTAAAAACAAAAATTTATGAATTTAAATTAATCAATTATGTCATATGTGACCATTCACAATAAGAGAGAAATATATTTATTTTTTAATAAATTACAAGTCATTTAGATTAACTTTGATTTTTTTATATATTTTTAATCATTTTTTATTTTACTTATTTAAATTTTGAAATTTTCTATTGAGATATTAACTTTTTCTAACTTACATTGATAAAAAGTTTGTTAATATATATATATATATATATATATATATATATATATATTGTAGAGTGTTAAGAGTATATCTTTTCTCACTTTTTTAAATATATTTTTAATTATTAACTAAAAATTGTTAAAAATTACTAAGATATAAAAAAAGTATTAAATAAAAATAAAACTGATGTAATTTTTAATAAAACGTTAAGTTTATGACTAAAAATGCATTAAAAGAATAATAAAATTTATGTATTATTTTATAACTGTTGTTGATCAATTAAAATTAAATTCATTTTAATAAAAAATTGTATTTAATGTTATTATATATTATTGAGGTAAAACGTTTATTTTAATATGTAATCAACACTCATAAAATTACAGCTAATTTTTGTTTTAAAAATGTGTAAAAGTGTTTTTTAAATTCTTTTTATTCGTCTATATTTTATTTTAAAAACAATTGACCCTTATTATTTTTAAGAAGAAAGTCTTAAAAGAAACCTAAATTACGACCATCCAAAGCAACGAAAACAGTTAAGAGGCCTTCAAAAAATTAAGGTAGGACATCGGAGAAGATGTTTCCTCCAAATATTTTTAGTGTTAAATGGTCAAATTAGTATATTATATATTAAATAAATAAATATTTTTACTTTTATAGGTAAAAGGGAAGTAGCTCACTGATGATTAAAAAAAAATTAACAATTAATGATTTAAAAATGAGTCTTTATTTTGTATATTTAATAAAAAAATATTGATATGTTATGAATTATTATGAGTGGATATTTATTTTTCTACATTCTCATATTTCTAGAAATTTTAGATCTTGTAACCATTTGTTTAATTTATCTTTAAATAAATAAAACTCTTGAGTTGTAGATTTAAGCATATAAATAAATATATTATTTATATTAAATGTGTGAAATGAAATTGAGATTATCTCTAATTTTATTCTCTTAATTTTTTTTATTTGTCTATTATAATTTTATATTAATTTGATATATAATAGTCATACTAATATGCTATATTTGATAGTACAAAGATTATTAAAAATTCTATTAGAGTTAATAAATTGTTGCTTAGTGAAATAAAATTATATTATACTCTACTAAGTTTCGTAAAAATTTATTAAGTTTCAAGGATATCCGATACCATAATAAAATAACAAATGAAGAAAAAGTAAAATATATTTATATCACAAAAATTGATATCGCAAATGAGTTTAAAAAGCATATGAAATGTAGTAGACTTTTCAGTTCCAAAGATAAAAATTCTTGAAAAAAAAAAAGAAAGAAGATAATTATATCAAGAATGTAAAGACTCTTCTAAAACATAATTAATATTTCAATTTCTAACAAATCATAAGTACCTAAAAATTATGAAATAAAGAAATATCAATAAATTATGTCTTGAATATAATACAATAAAACCAAAATGAATTCAATATTGACAATGATTTTTCGTTTAATGTAGCATTGGATATAATAAATAATGTAGAAGATCATGAACCAAAATCAATAAATGAATATAGTCAACAAAGTGATTGACAAAAATGAAAAAATGTAAATATGTCAACCAACTTTTTGGGCCCATAATTAGTATACCTAAATATATAAAGTCAGTTTGATACAAATGAATTTTTGTGTAAAAACAAAAATACAAAAGATGAAATTATGTCAATGCTTACTAAGTTTCACAATAGGGCTTGATTTGTGTTTAATGGAGGTTGTTACAATCTAATTGTATGACTCACTTGATAATAATATTTATATGAAACTCTTCAAAGGTTTTAATTTACTAAAAGTATATAATTTAAATGCTAGAAAAGATTATTCCATCAAGTTGAATATACCACTTTATGAATTGAAGCAATCTTAATGCATGTGATATAATTGTCTTTACGAATATTTGTTAAAGGAAGTATATAAAAATAATCTCATTTATCCATGCATTTTTATAAAATAATTTGACAATGCCTTTATTATAATTGTTTTTATATTGATAATTTAAATATCAGAATAATTCTCAAAGAGATTTAAAAAATAATAAGTTATTTAAAGAAAGAATTTGAGACGATGGAACTTAGAAATAGTTTTGTCATGGGTTACAAATTGAATATGTAAAGAATGAAATTTTTATGCATCAAAAAGCTTATATAACTAAGGTATTAAAACAATTTTATATGGATAAATCACATCTAATGTGTACTTCAATAGTTATAAGGTCATTAAATGTAAACAAATATTTTTTCAAACCTCAAGAGAATGATGAAGAACTATTTAGTCCTAAAGTACCATATATTGAAACACCAATATATCTTACTTGTCATACACGACCCGATATAATATGTGTTAACTTATTGGCAAATATGAAATTTTGAGTTTATTTTAGCCAAATGTATCTAAGTCTAACTTACTTGATTATGAAAACACAAGTTATTTGTTTGACCCTTAATGGTAGATCACAAACATCTTATTCGTTTATATGTTATGGTGCAATCATTTCATGGTGATCTATTTAATAAGGTATAATGACTATATTATCTAATCATGGAAAAATTTTACCATTACGTGAGGAAATTTGAGAATACATCTAGTTGAAATATATGATTCAACATGTGCGAGATATTTGTGGTTTATTTACGAGAAAAATTATATGTGAAACTAATGTTACATATATAACTCAATTGAAAGGAAGATACATTAAGAGAGATAAAACAAAATATATTTCTCTAAAATTCTTTTTTATCGATGATCTTCAAAATAATGACGATATAAATAATCAACATGTTTGTTCATGCAAAAATCTAACAAATATTTTTACAATGTCACTGTCAAATTAAACTTTTAACCAATTAGTTCACAAGATTGAGTTTCATCATCTTAGAAATGATTGTCCATATAAGGAGGAGAATTAAATACATTTTGCACTCTTTTTTCTTTGTCATAGTTTTGTCTAATTGAGTTTTCCTAGCAAAATTTTTAATGAGACAATATCTAATAGCATATTAAAGGATAAGGCTATGAATTATTATAAGTAGCTGTTCATTTTCCAACCATGTTATATTTCTTGAAATTTAAGAGATTGTAACTATTTATTTAATTTATCCTTAAAGGAATGAGACTCTTAAATTACAGATTTAGACATATAAATAAGACATCTCATTTATATTAAGTGTGTGAAATAAAATTGAAATTCTTTTTTGCTCTAACTTTGTTCTTTTTATTTTTTATTTTCTCATTATAAATTTTTGTTGATTTAATCAGGAGGAATAATATGCATGATATCATTCAAAATTAGGAAGATAAAGATACCATATTGTTTATAGTTTTTACCATTGAAACATTACACCTAATAAAAATTTATATACAATAAATTTTTATAAAAAATATATATTAACTCAATTTAATATTATATTATTATTAAGTTCTATATATTTATAAGAATCATTATTTATTAATTTTTATTATGTGTAATGTAATATTGCATAAATTAAAAAAATAAAATTATTTAAGTATTGTTCACTAATCAAATTTAAAATTTTAATTGATAAACAACAATAATAATATTAAAATAAATTTTAATTTAATTAATAAGCAACTCTAACAACAATATATAAAGTTTCTTTTAAAAAAATAGTATTGTTTATGTCTTCATCATCTCCTTGGAAATTGTCATGAAATTCATATTATCACAACTCTTATCCTTCATTACACTCTTACCCATAAAAAGATGATAGACTTAAGGATAACTATCCATTTTAGAAAGTATAGCAATTCTAGAACTAGAGTAAATACAGTAGAAACTCTTTAAATTAATACTCGATAAATTAATAAACTTTCTAAAATAATAAATTTATCCGGTCCCGACTTGAGCCAATATAAAAAATTGAAAAACTCGATAAAATAATAAGATAATAATTTTTCGGGAGATCCCTTTATAATTTTCGGTCCCAAGAAAATCATAAATTAATAATTCATAGAAACTGAAAAAAATATATTACACTCTATTGAAATATGATTCAATAGTTGTCTGTTTTCCTTTAAAGTTCAAGTCTATTTGGAGCTCATCTCTAACTTTTCTTATTGCATCCAATAGCTCAGGTGTTGTATTTTTGTATTGTATCATAAAGTTGTGAAGAGTGTTCGACGCCATAAGTGCTTCCTTTCGCGTAACAGGCTCCAAAGACACTGTATCATCTTCGTCGTCATCCTCTGCATTGTTCTCAATGATAGTACCCACAATATCTTCTAAACTCTGAACCTCCGAACATGCTTCATTTTCACCTGGGTAGTTCATTAGATTGTCGATATTCATCTTATTACGATAGCCACATTGATTGATCATAGTCTCGAGGTCTTGAGTTTCTTCATCAAAAGTGGATTCATCCAAATTTTTTGCAACGTCACTATCTGAACGAATTTTATAGTGTCGGAAGCAATTCGC